GTGAACTTCTTTTTAAATTTTAATGTGTAAGTTTACTTATATCCTTAACTTAAACTTCTGCTGTGGCAGGCACATGATTCTTCAGGTGTATCATATTTCACTGCATAAGCAAATCCACCAACATTCACTCTTTGAACAGTGACCATTCCAAATGCAGCAATGTTTGTGCAGGTACCACTCCCACAGTGTTTTTACAAACCCTGTGTCTGTCATGTGTAAGGCTGCTACACTGAAAAAATACAAAATCAGAAAATTCTTCAGTGACCTTAGTTTGACGTCAAGTCCAGGAGATTGCTGCTTAGATCTTTGTTTGGCTGATGTATTTTCTTATTTTCACGATGTTGAAGGTTGTGTCTGTTGTCAGTCCATTACACTGACTTTTTTTTAAACAAAATAGTCTCAAAATTGGCATCACAGTTTCTCCTTGGTGCTAGTTTTGAGCTGAAGGTTTGAAAGTGGCAGAGAGGAGGCCATGAATGTGCTTTTTTGTGTGACTTTTACATAGGGTAACTTACTAGACAGGTAAGATTGTTCAGAAGATTGAAGGTGGTAGAACATTTATTAAACAGTTCCTTTTTTAAACCTGTGGTGACACTTGACATTTCTTTCAGCTTTTGTGCTAGCTATGCATGCAATAGTAATAACTTGAGGATTAGTTCCTTCACAAATATCTTGCTTTTTATTGTCATTTTTCTGTCAAAGTAGCTATTACTGTATAACTTAATTTATGTTACAAAAAACACTATGCTGTGTTTTTTCAAAGTCTGACTTGCTTCAGAGTTTCCACTTTTTGCTTGTTTCCCTGTGCAAATTTGCACTGCTTTCTCTTTGCAAGTGGCTAACAAATGTGAGGTGATCACTTTGTTCCTCTTGGGCCATGAGAGAATTAGGGCTGCAAAGGATGTGAGGCCATGTTCAGTCTAATCTCATTTCAGAGACTGAATCAAGTAGCTTAGTGTGGTTTTGGGGAGGTGTTTACCTTCACTAGTAAAAGACATGCCTAAATCAGATCAGGTTGCTCTCTTTTACAGTGCTTACCATCAGGAAGTTTCTGCTAATTAAGAGTTGAATCTTCTGCAGTTTGAGTCCAAACAATGCTTGTTTGGTTCTTGATGGACAAGGTTACTGCTGCCTTCTCTGTGGTGAGCTGAGAGACCTTGGAGAGCATTGCTGTGTTCTGTATTTATTTCTTCTTAGGTAAATCCATCAGATTCACTCATCCCTGTGTCACAGACTGATTTATTGTTGTTATCTTTATTTCTGTTGCATCATCTGTGCTTTTAGAAGATGCTAAAAAAAATGAAATTTACCAGTAGAGTGGGATGTTTTGTGTGTGCTTCTCCTTTCTCCTATTGGATCAAATTCTGGGTTAAGCTGCAGGCACTGTCATCTTAAAAGTTTTTAATCAGCTTGAAAGTGTAACTTCATTAAGAGTAAAAATCTGAAGATAATCTAGCCTCTTGACCCTGAATGAACACCTAATCCCTTAGAAAGCATAATTACTTTACAGGGTTATTTTCTACCAGGAAGAATAGGATGGGATTGCTTTGTTGCCTGCAGTAGAGCAGACCTGTAACAAAGAAGTTGCATCCTGTCTGGTTTGTTTGTTCTTTTTGTAGTCTTAATGTGATTCTTGTTGAAAGAAACTTGTTTCAATGCCTGACTTTGGTCTGCACAATGATTCCACTTGAAGCCACAAAACTGAGTTATTGTTCAACTGTAATCAAGGATTGCTGTTTTAAAGACAGTGAGAAACAAATGGTGGTGGTGTGTGCAAAATTCTGAACCCTATATATCATGAGATGCCTTGCTTGACTTTTCTCTTGGCTTTGTGGATAGGAAGTGTTTCAATTTGAGTCTTCTAGTATTTCCATTTTCAGTTTCTTAAAAGCATACTTATAAAGAGTTTAAATTTTTTGAAATAAAGCTAAATACAGCCCTTGATGCCTAGTGCAGTGTAGTTTCCAGTAGGACATAGGATGACTTTTCTTTTTCCATGTGAATTCACACAAAGGTAAGCAGGTCATTGTTTCATATATTTATGTTCTTAAATAACTTATTGAGGTGTAAATCAAGGAGAGATTATTCACAAACTTAACTTGCACTTTAACCCTCAGAGAGTGATTTCAAATTCCTTTGAAACTGATAGATTCAGACTGGCTTTAGCCTGTGCTGTTTCAGACAAAAGCCTGATGTTGGCAATGTGTATTGACCCAGCTGGAGTCAGAACAAAATCAAGAAAGATTGCAGTATATGTTGAAAAATAGATGGAATGACTAGATCAAAATCAAAGGTAGACTTGGAAAAAAAAATTAAACTGACCATGGCTAAACATGCAGAAGTTTCATTGCAGCTTATTAGAATGCTGTTTCTGGAAGTATCTATAGAACTTAGACTGACTTCATAATACATGCAATTACAATATAATTTATAATAAATTATAAATATGAATTACAATATAATTATATAATATAATTATAATATAATTATTATATAAATTATAAATATAATTTATAATAAATTACCTTAAGAAAATACCTGACATACAGACTAAGGGATTTTATTATTTAGTGTGATGTCCCTTCTTTTGATGGAAGTGGTTGTAGGAACAGCAGCCCAGGAGCAGTGCTAGGACACAGTTTGCTTTTGCTTTGAAAGCTGGAGGATCTCTGATTACTGCTGCTCCCAGCCATTCTCTCTGGCCATGCATCACCTGGTGCTCAGTGCTGAAGCAGCCCTGGAGGCTCTCAGGTAAACTGAGGGCACCTAAGGAGCTGATACAAGGACATGTGCCCCAAACCAAGCAGATGAACTGAACTCAGGCTGAAGTAAGCTTGTAAGCAGGGAAGTCTTAAAACCCAGAGCTTCCTTTCCTCTTCCTGCACTGAACATGCAAAGGGACCCAAAGGTCTCTCAATGTAGGTACCTAAAAGGTCACTGTACAACAGGGCAAGGCAGCTCCTTAAAAAGAGATGGCTTAGAGCTGCTGGGGTGAATAGGTTGAATAGAGATGTGCCCTTGCATGTGGGAGGAGAGGATGTGGGTCTCTTCAGCCAGCTGTGCTTGCCTGTAGCAGCTTTTGTTTGCATTGCACAAACCCATGAGCTGTGGGTTCTTGTTCGTAATTTTCTAATTTTCTGCATGGGCTGTCTTTCATTCATTTTGCTTTTTATCACCTAGAGGATCACTGCACTTGCTCTCAGTCACTCTTGGGAAGAAGCAGTTGTTGTCTTTGTTCTGAGGGATTTTCCTGCTCAGAATGTTTAGGCTGAGCTGAGTCAGAGTCTTTCCTGCTGTCCAGCCTCAGTCTTTAAAGACCTGCTGTATACAGTGATTTGTGAACAAACAAGTGTCTGTCCTCTGTTGTAGGTGTGTTGGTATCTAGTTTACTTGAAAAATTGAGCTCTGAAGTCATTACTGTGCTTCACAGAAAGCAATATAATGTCTTGTTTCCTTTGTCTAATTTTGACAGGGTGTGTGTATTTGTAATTGAGGTGTGAAAATGGGAGCAAGTAAAATAGCTCCAAATGTTTACTGGAAGAGCTGTAAGGGAATTGGTAGCACTATCAGAATTTAATGAGCCCCAGATTGATGATACCTACATGAGCAAGAAAAAAAGGGAAATCCTAATTCTTCCTGCTATTCCCCAAGCTAATGTTAGGGTTTGGGAAGTAATCCATCAATGCATGTTACCTATGCAAAGAAGGTGAAAACTCTGTGATTATAATGGGACTGTCTTAAAAAGTATCTCTGTGATTGTGCTGGTTGCATTGTACTTGAATCTTGCAAATTGTAAATCTCAGTGATTATGTGCCTGGCAGTGCTTTAACACTTTCTGGTTTGCTTGAACGTAATTTCTAGCTCTCACATTATGCCTTCACTCAAAAATTCTGCAGATGGTTGAACTGGTTATCATCACAAAAGACCTTTGCTCTCTTTCTAGATGAAAGCAGAATCCTGGCTGTTCATTACAAGTAAAACACAGACTTTAAAAAAAATTAATTTACCTGGAATCTTTAGAGATTAGTTATGATAGGACTTTCTCCACTTGTTAAAGGATGCAAAACACAAAAATCTGTGTTAAGTCTGATTTTCCATCTTGGGCAAATGACTTAATATCTTGCTTTTAAATATTTGCAGTATCCTTTAATCTTAAGCTAACTACTGTAGCTTAGGATTGCTCTTAGTCATATCAGTCTTTCAGTTTGTATGGGATGGCTTCAGAGAATGAATGCTGTTACCACTAGGTCTGCAGGAAGGTATTGTTATTTTGCTGGATCCATCTTTTTGCTTTCTGACTGTATGGTTGGGATTTTTGTGTATGTTTTCTTTTCAAAATACTAGGCTTGATAAAAATGTGTTTTAAAAGTGAAAGTTAAAGATAAAGATAATCTTAGCTGAGGCCTTTCCAAATGAGAGTGTGGTGATAAGGACTGGACTTTCCTTCCAGGTCTCCAGTGAGAATCTTACAGGGCAGTCCTAGGAGGGATGATGGCCTGTGCTGGTCTCACCAGGTGCTGTTCAAATGTTAAAGTACTAAAGGCTGAAGAACTTGTGGCATGAAACATCAGCAAACTGTTGTCATTTTGTTTTGTCCTTTTGTTTGCACTCCTTACCCTCTCTTAGGTGTGCAGCATTTACTTTTTAAAAGCTCACTTATATACTAAAGTTGTATTGATAAAAGCTAGTATTTTGGGGTCTTATTTCCAGGTAATATCAAGTATTTGATATTTGATGAATTTTATTTATATGATGAGAGATTTTTGTTTATGGGGGAGAAAATGGGATGATGTGAATGGTGGAAGAATGTCAGACAAAAAGGGTTAAACTCTAGGAAGGTGAAAGTTTAGAATAGGTCTCATGAGTGAGAAGAAAGTAAAGGTGAGTATTGAAATTGCTTTAAAACTTCTTATTTTCACAAGTGGTTTTTTTTTTAAAGCTCCTAACAGTAGGAAGTGTAACATTTGATGTGCTGCCATGTTTTTCCTTGCCTCTGCCAGGCCGTGACAATGCCTGCGAGAAGACCTCGTACATGTTCCTGCGGAAGGAGCTCCCTGTGCGACTGGCGAACACCATGAGGGAGGTCAATTTGCTGCCTGACAATTTACTCAACAGGCCTTCGGTTGGGCTGGTACAGAGCTGGTAAGTGTAAAAAAAATTGGATTGGAAAGTTATTGTGAAACTAACACTGTTTGTATTGTTCTGCTTGCAACAGAGGATCATTGAATTCTGAATCGGTCAGTTTTCTGCCTTGAACTGTTTATAGTGTGTCTTGTCAAGTGAAGTTTCATTTTCTTCTGATGTTGAGCATATGCCCTAATATGGATCCTAGCTAAGGATTTGTAAGTTAGTAAAAACATGCTGTTGTCTCCCAGGTAATTAAAATGAGTCCATAAGAGCAATCTTTTTAAACATTCCTTACTGTATTGCACTCATAGCTTCTTGAAACAGCTGCATTTTCTCCTTATTCTTCCTTTGCAAAAAAACACTGAGAGAAAGTTAAGACCTCATCTGTTTTTCTCACTGCTAAATCTTTAAAAACAACCTGGTATTCAGTGGAAGTTATGGAATGGGTCAAAAATCTGGTGTGGAATGGGTCAAAATCTGGTGTCATCCAGTAAACAACATTCTCCATTGTAATAATTAGCATGGATCTAAAGTGATTTCAAGCCCTGCCATCTTTTCCACAGTAATTAATTTCTAGCCTAATTGCATGTTTGGTGAGATTTGGAGACTGCTGCCTTGGATGTATAAGCACAAAAAAAATTGTTGTTCATGGAGTATTTATTGTTCATTTACCTGTTAATCTTTTAAAAACACTTTTTGTAAAAATATTTTTGCAGTATACAAAGAAGTCTCTTTGTGAGTAGCAGCTTATTTAACAGTAAAAGCAGCTGATGTTGTAGGCTTGTGTTAAATTCAGTCATAGCCCTTGAGCCAAGAGCTTCTGTGCTGACTCTATGGTGACTGCTGGCTTGGGTCTCCTATGCATCAAGCTTCAGACTTACAAAATATAAATTAGGATGTATGGAATTGAGTTTGTCTTTGCAAAGTAACAGTGGATGTCTTGATGACCACTTCAAGTACAGTGATGGAGTGCTTCAAGTGAGGGTAACTGCTGTGGAGCCACACAATCACTTTGTGGTTAGGTGGCAGCTTGCAAGGTTTGAAGGCTTGTCTGTCTGTTTGGTGTCACAGGAAGTTGTTATGCTTGTAGAAAAGATAGATAATCTGCAGGTCTTCTAGGCTTTTCTAATCTGGTTGAGCTTGTGAGCCTGTCTTAAATGAAATGTGGACACAGGTGAATGAAGAAAAGGAAATAATTTTTCTGTAGTGACTGCAGCCTAATATTTCTATTCCAAGTGTCTGTGCTGTGCCTTGTCCTTCTGCCCTGCCTCTACAGAGCTAAGCAACATCTGGATCCTTCTGGCAAAGGAACTGAGTGGGTGTTCAGAGGGGAGACCCCTTCAGAATTTTGGCTGCAGAGATTTGAGGACTCATGATGATTTCTATGGCCACAGTAGATAATTACTGATGGAAAAAAGGAAAAAAAGCCCAAAACTCCAAATAAATAAAAGCAGCAGCATGTGTTATATGACAATGTGATTTGCACCATCACAGCTGCAGACCAGTAGTTGTCTGTTGGACACGCTGAAACACCAGATGTGATGTGCTGAAGAAGTTGCAATGGACATCAAGCCCAGAGATGGAAGTTTGAAATCAAAGTGTTTTCTGTAATTTTCTTCTGATTGTGATCTATAGTTAACCAAGAGTTTTTGTGGGAAGGAGTGTCTTCATTGAGATTATGTGAGAATATTTTTATCATCTTATGTCAAAAATAATAAAAGTAATTGTAGCATTTTTCCCCTTGATTCTAGGTGTGGACTTTAAAGAGCTTAGTTCTTATTTTTCTGTTCAGAGGTTTTAAATTGCTTAATTAAACATTTACCTGTAGTTTGTAAGTCCTGGTGATAACACTTGAGAAAAATTTATCTTTTAAATTTATCTTTTAAAAAGACCAAACCAAAGATTTTATTAACTTCAGTGTGAATGATGACCTTGATGTTATGTAGCTCTGTTGATAAGTTGATAACAGGTTTTGAAACACATTTATAGGTTCTTAACCTAAGGTTTAGAGATACTATCAGAGTGAGATTCCTGGATTTTATGTAGTAGAATAAATAAATATAAATTTAGTTGTTCAGCTGTTCTATGAGCTTGTAAAATGAAAAAAAAAACCCTCTTCTTAATGCAGTTCAGAACTACTTCAAGAAAATCTTTTTTTGAGGGTCAGATTTCACCATCCTTTGTTTTTGCTCTGCCATAGGTTCAGAAACCTCGGCAGTTCATTAATAGGCAAGGAAAAATTTATTGTACATTTGCCACAAGTTAGAAAAACATTTAATTCCTTACTCACTTTAATATATTTGCTGATATTCAGTAATTTATCTAGTCACAAGCATGTTTGTTTCAATTTTGCCGTGATTTTACACTGGAAAACCTATGTTTTTGTGTGCTTTTGGTGAGACTCCAAATTAGCTGGAGCTTTAACATTTGAGTTCCCAATCTATTCATTAATGCCAGCATGCCAAAAATTAATACAAAACGGTCCTAATCTTTAAGATGGGTTTTATTAGACTTTAAAATTAAAGTGCTCTGTAAATAGAGGAATAAGAAATCAGGCCTGCCTGCAGTGCAGCATGGATCCTTTCCCATCAATCCTCTCTGCTTCCAGCCATGCAACGTTCTGGGTTGCTCAGTTGTCTCACCCTTGAGGTTCCCTTGGGAGGCAGCCTGGTTTGCTGCTCCCTGCTGCAGGCAAGGCCTGTTCTCTCCCTCTGCCATCCATCTCCATGGCCATGCTGGAGGCACTTGGCTTCCTGTGCTTGCCTGCCAGTCTGATTTTACGACTGATTGCTTGATTGCTCGTGGGAAAAGTGCTCTGTTGGTTTTTTCTCCTTCCTTTCTGGGCTCCTCAGCCTGGTGTGTGCAGCACTGAGCAAGACCCCTCTCCTTCCTTTGTACTGCTCAGCTACACTTTCCTGAATAAAGCTGGAATTACCCAGAGAGTGGACTCTGAACAAACCAAAAATAATAGTTTTGCATTTCAGTCAAGGTAAAACATCAGCTCTGTCCCAGTTTGAGGTCTTACCTTAATTTGTGTGTATCTTTTGCAAGGAGTAGAGAAGGAATCAACTCTAGAGTGAAACACAGTTAATATGTTCTGGCTGTGGACTGCAGTGATTCCAAACAGCAGGCAGATCAATAATCAGCACCTTGTTTTCAGCTTCTAAAATCAATGGGCAGCTTGCTTGACCCAAAGAAGTGGGCTTGTTTTTGGCCAGCTTTGAGAGGGCACTGTAACTAAAGTGCAGGTAGGATATTGAATATATAGCAGAATTGTTTAATAAAAGATATGGTTACTAATGTGATGAGGGAAAAAGTTACAATAAAACCTTACAATGGATAAGGTTAGAGCTTATGAAATATCAAAAGTAAGCATGAGGTTTGCACAGTATATTACTCAGTTATATGTAAAATTTACATTTTTTTTTTTTAGCCTGGGCAAATGTCTCTATTTTTTTCGAGGGCTTTTCCTTAGAAAATGCTATAAATTTCCATTCCTCTCTTGGGAAAGACCCATTAGAGAAATATGTACAGTTTAGGGATTAATAATTGGATTTTTTTCTGTTTTCTACACTGAGACTATGCTAGCAAGATTGTGTTACCATGGAGATTTGTTTTATCATTATAGTGCTTTGGTATTAAAATGATTGTAAAGGAAAATCTTAGTGAAATACACATCAGGAAAAAAGCAGAAGTATCTTGCGTGATTTTTTTTAAGAAAAGAAAACCCAGAGCTGACATTATGGGCCTTTGCAGTGCTTTCATGTATGAAATGTGCCATTCTAAAATTATTGCATTTGTCAGACTAACAAGAATTCAATCTATGTGGCAGTAATTAACAGAATAACAAGGCAAAAGGGTGCTTGAAACCAAAGAGCTTGCCCAATGAATTGTAGTGGATTGTGATAAAAAATTAAACACCAGAAAGACAATATGTTTGAAGGGCATGGACTTTGATTTCTGCTTTTGATGACTCACCAAATATAGCAAAATAAACTGACATTCTCTTTTTCTCATATATGCTGGAATTTTTTTTTAAAGTTTGTATTCTCTATACTTGTATTGATATATTAATGATACGGTAATTCATGCATTATTCTGGTGCTTTTTTGTTCTTTCTGGCTGATAATTGTATGTGAACTATGGTTAAACATCACAAGGTCTTGCTTTTTTTTTACTTTACAAATCCTGTAGTTACCGTCTTCATTTATCCCTCTCTGCACCTGCAATTCAAATTCAAACAAAATGCAAGGAAGTAGATGGATTATATGAAAAGGGAATGACATTTTCACACACACTTTTGCAGGAATGGACTGTATTGCTGGCTGCTCACCTTCCTCAGAGTGTAATGGTGGTAGTGGTCATTAAGACCAGAGTTATGAATTTCCTTTTAAACATATTTTTTCTTAATTTCTAATTTTGAGCTTTTTGGGAGAGAGGGAGTGGGGGACTGAATTTTGTGTACAAACTGGAAGTCACACCGGCATTAACGAAAAAGCTGTACAGCATTTGCACCTCTGAGTTTCTATCGAGAGACATAGGACACAAGGTATTGCACACCCCAGACTGGGTGAAGTACAGTGTAGGCACTGAGCAGTGGGTTAGGGTTATTTGACAATAAATGACTTTTTTCTAGCTTGGTTTAGTCATGGGCTTGGAAGAAATTTGAGTGACTTTGGTTTGAAGTTCACCTTTCTCTGAGCTAACTTGCTGGGTACTGTGCTTTTGCTAATAAGCTTGACTTCTAGAGTAGCATTTCCTTTACTTTAGAATCAGAAGGAGAGAACTCTAAAGGAAAAACATTGCCTGTTTCCATAATTTCTCCAGTAATGGCCGGCAACCAGTCAAATCCACCCAGTACAAAAATCAGGTACCAGCTGCCTTTAGTACCAGCAGCCTTCATTGCTGTTTTATCCTTGCGTCTGCACAGGATTGCTGTGGTTTGACATTTATGGTAGGATGTCTGTATTGAAGACAGTCTTTGTGTTGCTTCTCAAGTGTGGTGAAGTTTCAGAACCAGGACTTGGATAGTATTGTACAATGACAGGCGGGGGTTGAAGAACATGCACCTCTATGAGTGAGCATGATCATGATTTAATAGTTGCATGTGAATCAGCCAAGTTCAGAGTGTGATGGTTGTGAACTGGTGACATTTCTTAGCAGCATAAAATAACATCTTTTAAAATAAGCACTACTGAAGGTGTGAGCTACGTGCCCTTCTTGTAAGTGACAGATATTTGGGGAATTTCTGTAATGGTTCCTGGTATTTGCAGGAGGGCACAGATGCACTGAGGGACAGGAGCTGCTGTTCCTGTGCTGACCATGGTGAAAATGTCAGTGTCCCTGAGGAATGTCACAGTGACCTGTGGCTGAAGCTTGAAATGGGGGTGGACCAAGTGGCATGTGATTCTGGAGGGAGTCACACAGACAACAGTGCTACCCAAGCTTCACTGTAGCTTGAAGATGCAGGATGAAGTTTCAGAGCCTTATTAGGCTGGTCTTAACATAGAACTGCTACCAAAAGAGCTTATGCATAGGTCATTTTGTTGAGCTGACCTAATCTACTGGATAGCTGCTACTGCAAAGGGAGAGGCTTGGTTATGTGTTTTGCTTTTCCCTTGTGTAGGCTCTGTGGTTATTTTTTCTCTCTTGTGTTAGTTTAGCTTCAGCTGTTTAGACCTTTCAATTAGTTGTTTTCATGTGCAAGAAAGGTTTGTTTGGTTTTTCTTCTGTCTATTTCACCTCTGCTGGGAGTTGGAGCTGTTGACACACACATGTGATTACCATCTGATTAGTGTTGATGCTGTAGTTGGAGTGGCAGTGCCTGTGACGGTGTTCACAGGGGTCTGAGGATGAGGGAAGAGACGAGAATGTTGACTCCATGTTTCAGAAGGCTTGATTTATTATTTTATGATATATATTATATTAAAACTATACTAAAAGAATAGAAGAAAGGATTTCATCAGAAGGCTAGCTAAGAATAGAAAAGGAATGATAACAAGGGCTTGTGACTGACAGAGACAGTCCAGATAGCTGGGCTGTGATTGGCCATTAATTAGAAACAACCACATGAGACCAATCACAGATGCACCTGTTGCATTCCACAGCAGCAGATAACCATTGTTTACATTTTGTTCCTGAGGCCTCTCAGCTTCTCAGGAGAAAAAAATCCTAAGGAAAGGATTTTTCATAAAATATGTCTGTGACACTTAACCAGGAGTGAAGAGAGGGTGATATTGAAACCCTGCCTTTTATGTGTGTGATTGATTCCTTGTGTGGTTTACTCAGGAAATAGGTCCTGGTTCTGTGGTCCCTAAAGCTCCATGTGAGCTGCTGAATGTGTCTGAATGTGCTCCAGGGGCGATGGCTGGTGCTGAGCACAGAGCTGTGTGTGAGTGGCACATAGGGCAGGCTGGCCACGTTCATGTTGAGGGCTTCTGCTTTGGGTCTTCTGTGGTACCTCTGGGGCTCTGAGCCTCAGTTATTCCCCTGTGAACCGAAGGTCTGAGCAGGAGAGAGCTGTGTTGGGTAAGAGGGGTTTTTGTGAAACCAAGGATTGTGTCACACGGAGGAGCTGTGGGAGTGTGGAATGGGTGTGCTCTCCTGGAGAGCTCTGGTAGGACCAGCCTGGTGCACTCCTGTTATTGTGCCTTTTGGGGAGTGTTCTCTGAGCTTTCTTTTGAAAGGAAACTTGGATTGCTCTCTGAGGAATATGGGAAAAAACTAACATCAGTATAGAGTAGATGAGCGGAAAAATCAAAATACAGGGGCAAACTACCTGAAATTACAGATGTACCTGTAGAGAGGTTTTCTTCCCATTGACTTCAGTTTCATTTATATAGCAATTTTCCTGAATTGCAAACTGTAAGGTCATAAGTAATACTTTTTCACTTAATATATTGTAGTTGCTTTCTTTCCCTTTGTTGCAGCATCCCCCCTACTTTTAGTCTTTGAAGAGAACTGTGTACTGTGCATCTGTTACTTTTACATGACCCTGTAGTCTTAGAACTAAAGAAATTAAAAAGTATTTTATGTTTTAAGTATTTTAATTCTCTTTTTATAATTTTTGCTTGTTTCAGGTACATGCAGAGTTTCCTTGAGCTTTTAGAATATGAAAATAAAAGTCCTGAGGATCCTCATGTTCTGGATGAGTGAGTATCTAAAAATGAACTGTTAGGAAAAAGAAGTTAATCTGTCTCAAATACCAAGTGGTCTTGTACTCTAGGAAAACAGTTACCTTAATTGTAAGTTAGAATGTGTATGGCAAAAGCTAAAATTGTAATCTAGAGTAGAATGTAGGTATCTTAAGTGCTTTTGAACAGTATATTTTGTATTTATGCAGATTGGTAGTTTAAGAAATGGCATGAAATGCTTCCTTCAAGACTGTATTGAGAAAACAACATGGATAGGAGGCTATACTTGCATATCAGATACTTAAGAGTAAAATGTCATTTTAGTATACATTGAGCTTAGTGCTCTATTGTAAATAAAGTATGTTAATACATTAATAGTTCAGAGTTTTTTTCAGTTTGAAAGCATTCTGATGTGTCAGTCATTGTTTTTGTCTAAAAGCTTTTTTAATGGACTTCAATTAGTGTTGTTCACCTACCTCGCTGAGTAACATTACTTGAAAAGAAAGGAAAACTTAGCCAATTTTATTTATCAACAAAATCACATTGAAATTGCCATTAGATTGTTTCCATGAATTGTATATGAATAAAACAGAGAAGAACCCCTCATGTGAGAGCAGCAGGTGCAACACATACGTCAGAGACTTGAAAACAAAACAACTAAAACACAAACACACACACACACACACATACAGACTGGGGTCTGTTATTACCCTGTACCTATTGCAGTCAGCTTTGTTTCAGGGTATTGCTTCTTGCAGGCTTTTGTTCCATTAATTAGCTTTCTTAGGGTAGTTTGTCTTTTGGATTTCTTTCTAAATTCTGAAATCCTGCATGATCAAGAAGTGCTTTAAAGAGAGTTTCATCCAATGTCTTGCTCTGTTTGTGCACCATGCAGCCTGTGTTGTGCAAAAATGGTGTTTTGCCTTCAGCAAACTAATATACATTGTCTTGTTACATTAGGTTAAATAAGGGCTTTGGGAGGTGCTGCATTACAAATGTTGTGCACTTTTGGTTGTGAGCACATTATCTGAGATCTTGACACTTCAGCTTTTGTGTTTCAACCAATACACGTAGGAGAAGCTCAAGTGCAGGAATATGAAGTTCCCTGCATGGCAGAGCTGTAGAAGGAGCTGTATGGATTAGAGACTGACTGAATTGTAGTGCTATTGAACAAGGGGAAAGTAACCATTTACTCAGAGTGAGTACCATTTACTCATTCTGGATATTGCCTCTTAAGAAATTAAAACACTCATGGGCAGTACTGATGTGAAAGGAACAAGACTTAGAGACTTGGATAGTTCCACCTCTGAATGATGCCGAAGGCATTTGTCTAGACTGGCAAGAAAAGATACTGGAGACTCTGGAAGTCTGCATGTGCCACAAAGTAAGGTCACTGTAATAAGGAATAATGGGTTGCTCTAACTGAAGAACTGGAGAATTAAAAAATGTCTGGTTTTTATTAAAGTTGAGAATGTATGCAGGGCAAAAAGTAAAGATTGTAATATTAATGAGAACAGACTGAAGGCTGTAGAGCATCCATTTTAAAAGCTTTTATAAATAGATAGATTTAGTGACATTCTAGGCGTGCTTATTCTGTAGAGGATAAATCAAATCAGTTTTTCAACCACCTCTAGCTGTCACACTTTGTGATTCTGTATTTACATCATCTGCATGTTTGCTGATGACACAGGAATTTCAGTTTGTGACTAGTTTATCGGCAGGCTTTCCTTTATGGGGTTAAGTTACCAAAACTTAGGTGTCTGTTGCCCTTTGAGATGGCATGAGCTGTCCCAAACACCTGAGTGAGCTTGGCAAATGTAACACAGGTCCTTTTAAGCCTGTCATGTCCAGGATGTGTGGGCTGAGGTTGTGGTTTTGTAACTTCTGAAACCATCTTTCAGTATTTAGGTAGCTGAATTTCAGCTTTTTATGAACTTCAGAGGTTCAAGGTAGATCACAATATAATAAATAAAGGCTGATGAGTAGTTCTCTTGGAGATCTAGTTGAGAGTCTCATAATTAACACATCAATTATCTGATTCTACCATATGGATATGGCAGTCCTGATACTGTTTCATGGCAACTGCAAATATTGTTTCCAATGCTCTAAATGAGTATGAGAACAAATATTTCATTATGAAGCAAATATCAATATCATTCAGGACAACTGTTTGTTAAAAGCTTTGAAATCGTGCACTTATTGTATTCTGTGTAATTAAGTACATAAAATAAGTATGCATGGAATTTATTGCTACCTATTGAGGTGAAGTTCAGCTGGGGTCTTTGACAATAAGAGCTGTCTTCTATACTGCATCTGACCTTTGAAAAGACATTAAAACTGTATTATCTGATTAAAAAGCAGATTTGTTCTTTTTGGCAGTATTGGATAGACTAAGATTAGAAAGTCAGATTTACTTTTCTGTTCTGGGATGTCATCTATACCTAACTTAGTGAAGCCTATGCCATTTAATTGCATATTGAGCTGCAATTAGACTTTTAAAAATATTCTTTACAAACTGTGTCTTTCAAAAATACTCTTAACTATGTCCATATTTATCTTAGGATACCACCGATAAATCTAACAAATTTCTCAACTCCTGTGTCAGTATTCCATGTTGCTGCTACCTAGCCATATCCTGATTTCATGTCTTGTGGTCAGAAGCCCGTCAGGAAGTATCAGGAATGCTGCTTTTCACTGGGGAAAACCCCCACATTTCTGAGATAATTTAAGTTTGCATAGAAGTTTTCTGTTCTCTTCTGATTGCATATATCATTACATATGGAATTGGAACCTTTATCTAGGACTTTTAAGTCCTAGAAGACACTTTGTTAAGTGTCTTTAGGGATGCATAAATAGGAATAGTTCTTTTCTTTAACCAGATTGATTTGCTTAAAGAAAAACCTGGCAGATTATAAGGTTTGTCTGGTCCTTTGGACCAAAGCCCCTTTTGCAGGCAGTAGCTGTGGGGTATCTCTGAGTACCAAGAGCAGCCTGTGAGGGGTTGGAGCAGCTCCATCTCTTGGCTCCTTTCTGCTGTCCTGTTCCCGTGTGGAACAGCCTCTAGAACAGCACATTTTACATGTTAATGTTACAGGGTATATGGCCTATAGTACAGAAGACCCAGCCTTGCATCCTTTGGTCACTGAATGCCCATCCTTGTCCAAGGATATCAGGTGATTTAGGCATTTCATGATGTCTCCCATCCCTTCTCCCTTAACTAGTGTCACAGGATGTGAATCTTGCCTGGGTGGAAGTGACTTTGTTCCAGTGCCATTGCAGCAGCTTCTGTTTGGAGCTGAACATCATCCATGCCTGTCCACCTCAGACACTTAAGAAACATGAAGAATAACAGGGCAGTTGATTTTTAGAAATTTAAGAATGCCTTGTTGGACTTCCTGTCAGCTGAGGTGAACATTTCTGTTCTGGCTAATCAGGGTAACAGTAGCAGAGGAGAGAAGGGGAGCTAAACTGATCACTCAGGGAGGTTGGGTATCCACAGATGTGCTCTATCAATGTTGGCAGTAGTTCTTCAATTACTGCTTTCTCAAATGGTGCAATGCTTTTATCAGTTGAACAGAAAACTGTCCCCTGACTATTTGTGGTTTTATCTCTGCTTGTCTGGGGAGCCTGCTGTGGTGTTGTCAGAGTTTGGGCTCTCTTGCTGGGGAAACCATTTTCTGTATTAATGTTATGGTACTATAGATGTCATGCATGTACTGGCACAGCTGTGTGTGAGGCCACACAGTGAGTGAATTGGGAAATGGATGTAGTGGAAGAATAGCCCACTTTGAGCTCTGTGCTCCCTAAAATGTTGGTGTGGCCAGCAAAGGCAGCAGTGCCCCTGCAGTGGTGAGGGTGAGAGGTTACAGGAGTTGGGGCAGAGCCTAAACTAAAGCTGATTGTCAGAGTGGCCCAACTCCTCTCTGCTCCTAGTGTATGAATTGGGCAGATGGATGTTCATGAGTTTTATCTTTTTATGAATGTTGGACGAAATCCTTTGAAGAGATTTTTTTCCATTGGCATTGTTCTAATGAAGTGTTTCAGTTTCTCTGTTGGTTAGCAAACCTTATGAAGCCCCCATGCAGCATTGCCACATTCCTGTCACTGTCAGTAGTACGGGCATTTGTAAAATGGTAGGTTACTTTTACCTTTTTGATAACACAGATATCTTTTTTAGCTGTAGAGGGGTCAGGTGGAAGTTTTTCTGCAGTTCTGCCAAACAGTGTGATAACAGGAGCCCTAAGATAAGGTGTCCACGCTTGGTGAAGGGTGCAACGAGGCAGAAGTGTTGGGAATTTCCCAAGGTGTCACTGTCCAGTAAACACACAGGTTTAAGCTGTGTTTCAAAAATGGAAGGGTTTGTAAAACATACTGTTCACATGTGCTCTCAAAGGACATTTAGTGCAGCCTCTACACCCCCGGGTTTCTCTGCTGGTTTTTCTCTTTGTGGCGCTCTCAAGGGAGGGTTGTGGGGGAGTGTCCTGGAGCTGGCAGCCACTGAGGTCCTCCGCTGCCAGCGTGTCTGAGATAACGTGCACAAGGAACTTGGTAAACAAGAACCTTCCTCTCTGCAGAGCTGCAGTTAAAATAGTGGCTCTGTAAGCAGTTTGAGCCAAGTAAATATTGGAGTGCATCTGATTAAGGAGGTGCCGTTTTGTTACTGTTACATAAAGTGAAATGCTGCTTTAATTAGTTGTGAACTTTGGAAGTAGATATACTTTCTAGTAGGGAAATCTTTCAGAGTGTGAACTTTTACCTCTTTGTTGTGATATTCAGCTGCCAGTTAGCACTGATTCAAAAAAAAGCAGCCATTGAGAAAAACCTCAGACCATTGCATTTGTTACATTTAAAGGGGTTTTTACTCTACTCATCACTTCTGTGCATTTCATGTTTCAGGTAATATTATCTATAAGAGACACTAAAAAATTCCCTTTGTCTTCAAATTGGCTTTTTTATGCTTGTTTTCTTGTACTGTAATGATGGGTTAAAACAGAATAATATATATAGGTTATTAGGAAGTTAATTAATGAATGTCACAACACAAGCTGTTTCTTGTATTTGCAGAATTTTTTAGCCTTCATTTATTTAACACCTGTGGTAATGCTTTAAGTATTCTTTTGTTAATGCAGAAACCACTGAAGCTCACTTAACTAAAGTAGCTTCTGATTAATAATTTCTCATTTGTTGAACCAACTGCATTATTTATTCTTTGTGGTTTTGAAAATACACAGAATTGTGAACAGAAAATGTAATTGGTAAAAAATTTTCAGAGCTGTTCTGGAGTATTCCTAGTTAATCCCATAAACAGTTTAAAATTCCTTGATACGGTGTCCCACAGTTTGAGTACAGTAAAAGCTTTGTGGCCTTTGGGGGTGTAGCAGGTAGAGGGACTGTAAGGAATGAGTGTTAAGGTTAAGGAGGTATATTCTGATTTCTGCTCTGCCACTTTGAGATTTGCCTGTATTCCTCTTGTATTTGCTCCTTTAAAAACATCTGCTTAGTAGAAACATGAGTGAACTCATTTATCTTGGAAGATGGAACAGGAACTCTCATATCAGTGCAATAATCAGGCATTCCTTTTTTATAAATTTTGTTTTATGCTGACTAAGCTTCAGCTATGATTTTGCTGGTCTGCAGCAGATAAACCTAAGCCCTTTGCCCTTTGGCATGCTGTGTGCATTGAAGCACTTTTGTAGTGGGATATCAGTGAACAATTTGCCCTCTTGGCATCAGGTATATATTTTGGATAGTGGAGGTATTTAAAAACAAATAGCAGAGCAAACAACAGTCAGGAGAGAGTGTTGTCAGTTGTGTTTCAGATGTGACTGTAAACATTGCCTCCAGCTCTGCCCTTTGCTAGGGCCTTGCTGCTCAGAAACAGAGAAGCAGCGCAAGTACAGCAGGCACCAGGCTCTGACATCCCCTCTCAGAGGTAACCCATCCCACAGAGCCAGGACTCAATAAACACATAAAGTCTATAAACCTTTTAAGCATTCAATGCTCTAAACTGCCCAGTCAGCAAGACTGGTAAGTAAGAGAACAGTCATTCTGTACTGTGATGGTATTTAGAATGGGGAATTAGGCAGATAAAACTTCCCCTTTTTTATGCAACAGAGTAGTGTTGAAAGAGTGCTGAACTATTTGTTAACACACAGGCAAAAACTGCTAGCTAGACTTAGGATCAGGAAAAAACTAGTGAAAAGGGATCCTGCATTCCTTTGCAGGTGGCAGTGTAGGGTGGGAGAAATTACCTTAAAAGTGTATCACTTGTTAAAAATGGTATTAAAAAATTACTGTCTTGACTAAGTGGTGCTGAAAAGGAAGAAAAGATCTTACTTATATGTGGTGACCAATAACTGGTCTTTTTTACTTTTTGTGGTCTTTGTTCTTTCCCTTGCTCATTTGCAGGGGGATTGGACTAGATGACCTTTCAATGATTTCTGTGATTCTTTCATTAGCAGGTGTATGGTCTACTTTTGATAAAAATAAAATACATTCATTTTCAGTATTTGTTATAAATCTACAAAGAATGTTCTATTGATTTTTTTTTTGAAAGCTCTACTCTCTGTAGAGTTGCAGATGCAGGCATAGTTTAAGAAGTGTTTCAGCTCTGCTTTCTTTGGAAAGCTGCATTTCACCATTTGTACTTTCTATAACAGCATTATATAAACACTGTGGTGTTAACATTAATTTAATATTGGACAATGTAGCAGAATTAACTAGTACTGCTTTTTCATGTGTCCTCTTTAGAAAGCTATTAATAATTGATATTTCAAGTATGTAGGGGTTTGCATATGGGGAAAAAAGGATGAGCACAGTGAAGATCACAGGTGTTGAGCAGCCTCGGCAGGAGAAACAGAAATCCTCCGAGCTGTGTCAAAGGAAACGCTTGTTAAAAGCGATGGGGGTGTTCTCTAAAAGCTGCCGGGCTCCGGACGAGAGCTCCGTTGTATTCGCTCTGCCATCCAGTGGTGGCAGAGCAAACTGAACAGGACTCACACAATTACCTGTCCTGAGATTCTAACTTAGCCCACGAGATGGAAGGTGAAGGAAATGCATTCAAAATTCACTGCATGGGTTGAGGTGTTGGGAAGAAAACACAAATTTTTCAAAGGAAATAATAAAGGATGGTCAGGTTTTTTCCTCTGAGTTTCCTTTCGAGTCTCTCAGCTACTGTTAGGAGTTGCAGGGGATGGGAGTTATGGTAGTGCATGTGATTGTGGTGAAAGAGAATCTTTTGCTATCCATCAATGTTCAAGAGAGATTAATTTAATTTCAATGAATATTTGTGGGAGAAATAACTTATTTGGGGCTCTAAATGCTTCACAGGTCTTGTGAGTGAGAGGGTGAGCAAATATTTCTTTATAAATAGGCTTGTTTAGGTACTATATTTTTGTATTTTCCCTCTGATATTTGTTACTGACTGGGAGGCATAGTAAACAGATAATATGGTTATGCTGTTGTTGAGTTTAATTATATTTCTAACAATCTATTTCTAATTTTGTTTCCTCCAGCTTTTTAGATGTTTTAATTAAAGTCAGGAACAGACACAATGACGTGGTTCCAACCATGGCACAAGGGGTGATTGAGTACAAGGAAAAGTATGGCTTTGATCCATTTGTTAGCAGTAACATCCAGTATTTCCTAGATAGATTCTACACCAACCGCATCTCTTTCCGTATGCTTATTAACCAGCACAGTAAGTAATTGCTTTTCTCTTCCTTGGAAACTCAGTTATTGCTTGTAAACCTGAAGATGAAGTTTTGTTTTGTATTTTTTTTTTCCTTACTCATGACTGTTCTGTGCTAATTGGGGCAAAAGAGCTACTGGCAGCTGGTTGATTTGGTACAATGATCAGAAATTATTCCAAAACACCAGTGTGCTTTCTTTTGGAGCTGTCAGTCTTTGTAAGTGTGGCTGTTGCTTTTTAGTCTCACTGGCTGAGATGGCTTGTGAAGTGATCCATAAAGTATTTTTAGGGAGCAGTAGAGTGGCTGTATCTTCTGCTCACAAAGCTTTCAACATAGTTTGTAGAGCTCATTTATTTCATAATGAAATGCAAAGATGCCCTAAATTTTGAATAGGCTAGGTGCTATACATCTGTTTTTTCCGGCAAGTTATCTAGACTTTCTTGCCTTCTAAAGAGGGTTGAGTATTTCTAACTGGAGTTTTAAATTATATCTTGTCTTCCCTTACTTCCTGTTTATTATTTATGGATAAATGCTGGAATTAGTCATCCTTTGTCATCAGATTCTGTTTCATTTATTGTTACTAATAAACTCACTTTTTTATATTCATATTACAGAGTGAAGGGAGTTACTTGCACAGCTCCTATTAACCAGCATGTGCAACCATGCAGAAAGTGATCTGTGTAAAGTTAAGGACAGTCTTCTGATCTGCTTTAGTGTGTCTTGTGCTTTTTAGCTCTAGAGCTTCATTCTCTGCTCAGTGTTTTGCTTTTCTGAGCTCTTAGAAATTGTTGTATGCTGCAGACAATGCAGAGGCTGGAGTATGAGGTGTTTTACTACAAGTTGTGTGTCTTTCCAGTAACCTTTCATGTGACTAACAAATGCCTTGCTGTGTGTGTAGAGATAACTTGGATGTGGCAAAGCATAGAAAATGAGAGAAATGTACAGCTTTTTCTTTACTTGCACCTGGGCAGAGAAGTGACAGACATAAAACCAAGTTAAAAGGTTTTCAAAGAAGAATTCTAGCAATAGAGTACAAACATTGTCTTAATATAATTCTTGGGCTGAGTGCTACTGTAATTTGCAGTAATCCCAAAATATTAAACTTGATTCATTGAACTGAACTAGCTTTTCCTGTGGATCCTCCTCTTTAACTGGTTGGAGCTTAGAACTGCTTGTAGCTGCTTGAAGTTTAGTTAACCTTGTATAATGTCTGTGTGTTAGCAGTGTTAGTGCTCTGTCTGTGATGGCAAATACTCATCTTGAAGCACTGAAGAAAAAGATAATTGGAAAGCAGAATGCAAATCCAGGTTTTTGCATGGTTTGCATTTCTGTTCCCACATTCCTGGCAGACTGTTTGTTTCCTCCAGAACTGTTCTGCAGGACACAGAGCCTGGGTTGAGCTTGCTGTGCCCAGGGTAGGAAAAGCTTTCAGAGCTAGACTTCTGCTCACCTCATGCTGCACCTGCTTCATGTCAGAGCTCACTAACTTGCTAAAATGGCAGAACATCACTCCTGAAATAAAGTACAAAACCTTTCTACTTCTTTGGGAGTTTTCTTTAAACTCTTGGTGAAGGGTCTGGTGAGTGTCAGACCCTTGTACAGAGAGGGAGTGGGGATCATACTGCTGAGATCCAGGGAGTGGAGTGAGGGAGACCTCTGTGCCAGCTGTGAAATTGCAGCTTAGGTGAGTGTAAAAGGCTTCGGATGATGCCTTACAGTTCCACAGCCCTTTGTACTGTAATGTTTTCATTGTTGTGAGTGCTTCTGTCCTGACATAACAGTATGAATGGAGTGGTTTGCATTTTAATTTTATCTAATTTTTTATAATCTGCTTTGAAATGCAGGTTTTCACCTTAACCCTCCCACATCATGAATTCTGTTTTAACTAGTCTTGACTGTAAAAACTGAAAATAAAAAAAAGGGAGGGAAGATGAGCAGTTAGACAAGTTGTCTTCTTAAGTGAGGATTCTGGCAATTTGCTGGAGTATCTTTTTACAAAATGATGCAATATCCAGTAAATCCCAGATGCCATCAGATTCCAACTTTCTAGCATGCATCAAGGGTAATAAATAATTTACTACCATTTCTTTTTTGTTTTAGCACTTCTGTTTGGTGGAGATATTAATCCTGCTCATCCCAAGCATATTGGAAGTATTGATCCTAATTGTGATGTGGCAGAGGTGGTTAAAGGTAAGATGGAGTTAATATTTTTGTTACTGAAATCCCCTAACTTAAAATATTCAGAAATATTTTGTTGAGATAAAAGAAACTGAAGGTGATTTAAATCCATTTCTTCTTTTCTTATTTTATTAAATGAAAGTTCTGCTCACAATAAACCCCTGGGCTTATTGAGACTTTCTAATGTCTTCATTATTGAGAGAAGAGAAGCTTTTGGTTTGTTAACAGAACTAAGAACACTATTTGATTTTTAATAGCTTTAATCTGTGCTTTGAAATATCAGATGAAGTGTCTAAATGTTTTGTTAAACTTTAGATGTTTTCTTCCTGTAATACTTAGAAGCAGGTTCCCATGTACTGCTTTTGTATCACATGCTGGTATTACAGAAAACTAAGAGTAAGTGAAATTTCAATTTTGTTTAGTTAGGCCTTTTAGTAAAATGTCCTCAGGTGTGCAGATATGCCAGTGAAACTCCACATTGCTCTGTCACCTGGTCACACACAGCCTGTTCTGTCTCCTGCAGAGGACATGGATGTGATGGCTGTACCTGAGCTGGCACAGTCACAGTGCAGCTCCTGTTTGCTCTGAGTTGTCAGTGTTTACCTGCATTCAGGTACACATGAGGCAATGCCTCCTGCTTCAGGAACATCTCCATGGAGGGTTCACACTCTGGGTGTGTCTGTTTGCAAATGCAGGTCCTGCTGTAGGAGAGAGTTCCAGGGTCTGTCCTTTGCTGCTGTTTGTGCAGCTGCAAAGAGGGGCAGAATGTGTTTTTTCCCCTTCACTTTCTCTCAGCCTTTGGTGAAGTGAGAGGGAAACCTTTCTTATCTCAAAGTCTGACCTGCATGATAGCTCACTTTGTAATGCTTTTTACAGCTCTTACAGCTTTTTTCTACCCCTTCTTAGCTCCTAAGATGGCCTTTTTCATCAGTTTTTTTCTTTTGATTGACCTTATTCCACTTTGGCCTCAGCACTTTATATGTTATAGCCATGTTGTTTATTTAGCTTTGCCTTCTATTAGCAATATTTGAATCAATTTGGATCATCAGATTCACAGTTGCTGCCTTTGACAGGGGAGTGCACAGTGTCAGAAGGTGCTAAGTCCAGTTTTCAAACAAGTAGCTGAAATAGATCATCCACAGCACTGACCAGTGTCCAGTGTTGCCTTTCAGAGAAGCAAAATGGCCTTAAAGACAGGGGCTGTATAGTCCTGTCCAGGTGATTGAGGCCTTTTCTGTGTAGAATTGGTGGAAGGATTAATTTGTGTTCTGTATGCTGTGCTAGCCCCCAGATGTCCTGGTTCACAGGCAGCATTCTGAGCAGTATATCAGTTAAAATGTTGCTTTTGGTACTGTATGTTGCAGTTATAAGCCCTGTGTGCCCTTCAGACAATGTAGAAATGATTTAAACAACCACATCTCGCTTCAAGCGGCTGCACCAAGTGCTGTGTCTGTGCTGCCTGAGGTGGCTCTGTCTTGCTGACTGTCCTGCAGTGAGACTTTTGAGCTGACAGTGAATTCAGGGTTTTTTCTGGAGCCATTCATTTCATGCCAGTAGACAGGATTTTAGATTTAGATCTCTCACTGCTATTGCTACTTAATCTCCACCCACACCATGAAGCATGCTTTGAACTTCACAGTCTCTTCCAGTCATAGGACTCTGCCAGAGAGCTGGCTTTTAGAGGAAGATGAAATGTTAGACTGCACTTAAGTGTTTGACCCAGATTTGCTAAGAAAACAATGAGAAATCTTTCAAATACAGAATTACAGAATGGGTCAGGTTGGAAGGGAGCACAGCAAATCCTGTGGTCCAACCTTCCTCCCTGCTCAAGCAGGGCCATCCGAGAGCACAAGGCGCAGGATTGTACCCAGGTGGTTCTTGAACATCTCCAGTGAAGGAGATTCCAAACTCTCTATGGGCAATCTGTGCCAGTGCTTGTTCCCTGCAGAAGGAGGAAATTCTTCCTCATGTTCAGGTGGAACTTCCTGTGCATCAATTTCTGCCTCTGGTGCTATTGCTCAGCATCACAGAAAAGAGCCTCCAAAGGGCTCCATCCTCTTGGCACCTCCCCTGCAGAAACTTTTAAACAGTGATGGGCTTCCCTCAGTTGTCTCTTCTCAAGGCTAAGCAGGCCCAGCTCCCTCAGACTTTCCTCATAAGAGAGATGTTCAGTCTCTTCATCCTTGTTTCCCTTCACTGGACCTGCTCCAGAAATCTCTGTCTGTCTTGTGCTGAGGAGCCCAGAGCTGGACCCAGCCCTCCAGACAGGCCTCACTGGGCTGGGTGGAGGGGCAGGATCCCCTCCCTGCCCTGCTGGCCCTGCTGTCCCTAATGCACCCCAGGATCCATTGGCCCTCTCGGCCCCAGGGCACTGCTGCTCATGGACAGCTCATTGTCCATGGGACCCCAGGCCCTTCTCTGCGGAGCTGCTTTCCAGCAGGGCACCCCCAGCCTGTGCTGCTGCCTGGGCTGGTCCTTCCCCAGTGCAGGGCCCTGCATTTGCCTTGTCTGAATCCCAGACCATTCCTCTGCCCATCTCTCCAGCCTGTCAGGGCCCTTCTGAAGGGCTGCCCAGCTCTGGGGGTACTGGCCACTCCTGCCAGCTCTGGGTCTGCCGGGAGCTCACTGAGGAGGCCCCTGCCCCTTCCTGCAAGTCACTGATGAATAAGTTAAACAATATTGCCTGGTAGTGAACCTTAGGGGGCACCCCTAGGGACAAAGGGTAACTTACACTTTCTGCCTGTGTTTCAACAATACATAAAGCCTGACTTGGCTATGGGGTTGTCATTTTTGGTTCAGTGGGAAGAAATGAAGAATCTTCTCCAACTTTTCCTCCAAGAGACCTTGAAAATTAAGTACTGTAAATAGTATTTTGTTTGGAGAATCTGAATTTGTGGCTGTAATCTCATCCTTTTTTTATTTTAGATGGAAAGAACAAGTATTAAACTGTGATTAGGAAATAAAAAGTAAGTCGATTTTATGGTCAGCCTAAGATTACATCCTTCTGGTTTTAAGCCCTAAACAAAGAAGAAAAATAGCTTCTCTCCAGTACTGTGCTCTTCTTTGTAGAGCTTTAGATAGAGTTTTCCCTTTCCTGACAACTGGGCTATGAGTGTAGAGAGAAAAAGGGATTAGATTTCAGCTTCATCCTTGCAAACTGGTGCTCAAAGTGAGTGTTCTGTTTGTGGTCCTTCACAGGGAGGATGGACACTGCTGGTCACTAGATTTTGATAAATCAGTGTTTGTTCTGTTGTTTTGTAGATGCTTATGAAACAGCTAAGATGTTATGTGAACAGTACTATACAGTGGCACCTGATCTGGAAGTTGAAGAATTCAATGGTAATTATGAAATTAATTTAACTGATGTGTGTAAGAAAATGCATTTCTGGTATCTGTGGTTCTTAGTTTTGTTATTTAATTGTAAGTTATAATTTGAGCTATGCAGTTACTTTTGTTCTAATGTGTCTATTTGGGCACCTGAACTGTAGTTTATCATCATGATGTGCACTTCTTTGTGCTGAAAGCAGAGCTCTATCTGCTAAATTCACTACCACTTTAAAGAAAATAAACCAAGACTCCTCATAACTGAGAGGGAAACATGCCTGCCTTCTGATATTCTAGCAGAGCTGAAACTTGTTTTATTCTGAAATGTACTTAGGAGCCCATGAATTCCCCTGGCACTCTCAACACAGTAGTGAGCCCTTCTGTGTAAGATGGCAAAATTGGGAATTTTATTAGGTAGTCTGTGCTTTAAATCCTATCATAAACCTCTCACTTGGAAATCTGTTTAAAATTGATTGCAGAGATGATAATTGGATGACACCAAACTGATGAGACAGGCTGGGTCAGCATATTGACTGCTTTTTGTTCATTATTTTATTGACAAAAGGGAGCTTATTTGGTTTTTATTTAAAAAAAAATTCCTGAGTGATCCTCTCCCAGATTTTGGACAGCAGCCAAACATAAGACTGAGATGGTTCCAAACTTCAGCAGAATAATTGCAAAAGTCTCAGAAATAGGTAACACTCAGTGGGAGAGTGTGATACTTGGAATGTGTATTGCTCACAGTACTACTGAGCAGTGTAGAAATATTTCTCTGCCCAAGGTGATGCTGTCAGCAATGATGCATTGCCACCCATCTCTCCCTAAAACAAAGGACCCAACCTTCCCCTTTTAAACTGAGTGATTCTACGGATAAAAGTACTGAGTGTTGCAGCAGAGGAATCAATCAATGCAAAATTCATCTGAAGGCATAAGTAAAAAGATCCAGCAGTAGAGAAAGCAGGCTGCTGGAGCTAAAAAAAAAAAAAAAGTGAATAAAGAATTACATGTTTCCTTTAAATCAGCTTCTTATCAATATGAGGAAAGCAGCTTTGCAAATTACCTTGCCAGAGCAACAATGACTCATTTTCTATCTCTGTGCCTCAGACAAGTGTGAGTCAGTTTGCCTTGGTTTCAGTGAAGCATAAGGGAATGGGAGTATGGACAGACAAAAATAACAGAATAAAATACCAAGTTGCCTTGCAGAGCATTGTTTTGGTCTTCTCCTTTTCCTAGGAGTTTTCATTACCATGTTTCTTAAAATAATGACTGGGATTGTTACCAGCCCTCAGTGCCAAAAGGAATGAAGTTGACTCCAGTCAAGTTCTTTGTGCGTATTTAAATCTTCCTGGAATTTATGAAGCAGACAGTTTGAGACTTCCCTTCAGTCTGAACTGCTGCTCAGTCTGACTCTCTGTAACTGCATAATTTAATGCCAGTAGATGCTTGAATGTTCAGGGATGACTTCATCTTCAGCCCCAAAAGTGGAATGTATTAAATGCAGCTGTATTATTTCCTGCCCAATCAATCAGTGAGCACTCTGGTGCTCAGACCTGTGCCAAGCCATGCCCCTCTGCTGGAACACTCACAGTGGGACAGCAGTGCACAGACAGTTCAGTGATGGTTTGGAATATGGAAGCTGAAATATTGTTTGAAGTATAATTGCAAATTTTTGTGAATACTTTTATTTTGTGTGTTTTAATGAAGGGAAAATATGGAGTTGATTTTAGAATATTTAAACAGTGGGTTTTTCTTTACTTTAAGAATCTTTCTGTGCAACAAATATTGTGCTTAAATAGTATGTGAGCATGTGAAAGTTTCCCACTTAAGTAGGAATGTTTTCTTGGTTAGTGTACATTGTTGTAGGAAACCAGCCATTGCTTAGTGAAGTTTTGTATATATACAAGGTCTGCTGACTGGATGGATTTGAAGATCATAATTATAATGTGTTCTTTCAGGTGATAGCAGTGACTAAAATTTATGGTTTTACTTCATGGAACTAATTTTGCCCTGGGAGAAATAGAACATGCTTACATACTTGTCTGTGCTTACATATTTGTGTTTTTCTGGTAAACAGCAATGCTACAAAATACTGTCCTGAAGAAAAATTATTTGATGTTTTTATTTCTCTTTTTTTTTTAGCTAAAGCTCCAAACAAGCCTATTCAAGTAGTCTATGTACCTTCTCATTTGTTTCATATGTTATTTGAATTATTCAAGGTAGGTTGCACTTGCTGTTATTTGGGGGAATTTTGTGACCTTATTACTATTGAAATTGTGATTCCTTTCAGTTACTACTCTTAAATATTATTTCAATTTTCCTTTCTTAAGCTTATTCTTAAGTTTCCAACATTCTTCAGTTGTTTAAAAGCCAGACTTAAGCCCCTGTCTTATGACCCTGTGTACCTAAAACCTGCCTGTTTTCCCACTTCTCCTGTTGTGCTTTTGTAGTTTTTTTGATTAACTTAGAACACTCATGACAGCCTGGGTTTGCAGTGATGGAATATTCATAACATTGCAGTTTTTATGAGCTTGCTTCTTTATTGAATATTTGAGGACTAGGATCAGTGATCCCAGCCTATTTGAGGTTAGGATCAATGTATTTATTGTGAAAACAGGCCCTGTATCTTTGAATAGTGTAGGTGACATGCTTTGTTCTGGTTTTATGTTTTCTGAATAATTGGAACAAGAGTGCAAGTGGAACATGTGAGAGCTGCTATATCATTTGAAAGAAGAGAGGAGGTCTCCAGGTGGTGCAGCTGAACACCAGAAATTGAGAGGAAAACTTGTATTTGGCCAGAGAGAAACTTTTTCAAAGTACTGTTTTTTTGGGGTTTGATTTCTGAAATTTGTCAACTATGTTCATTGAAGTCTTCTCCCATTTTGTAATTTGTAACATTAGTTTTGGAGCAGAACAGATGAGAATTTGTACAGTACACATGAGTATGTTTTTGGTCCAAGTTGTGAAACAGGCTGAAGCCAGTAAATTGTAGCTGTAAGAACTGAGACTGGCACTGCAAACTCTTAACATGAAGTCAGATTGACAGATGGTAACTTGCACATGACCCAGGCTGAGAAAATCAAAACTGGCCTTCTGTGGTGAATGTCACCATTGGTGTGGTGATGATGGAGGTGAAGGATGTTCTCATCCTGTGGATATATTTACTTGATTTCACACAGGACCAAAAAACAGTCTTGCTTTCTTTTTTCTGACTATATCCAATAAATGAAAGGTATGTATAATAAGTTGTAATGTAAAAATTTAACTGGGCAGTTCATTGAATTTGTGTTAAACACAGGCTTTTCTATCTTGTACACAGCTGTAGGACAGAGTAGGTGCTACACAATAAATTCAAGTTCTAATTTGTCAGAAAAACCTTATATGTTAAAGTTAGAATCAAAGAGACTGTGTTTTCCTTTATCTTCAGAATTCAATGAGAGCCACAGTGGAATTGCATGAAGGTAAGAAAGAAGCCTATCCATCGATCAAAACCTTAGTCACTTTGGGGAAAGAAGATCTGTCTATTAAGGTAAATGCCTAAAAACAATACACATTGCAAACCTGCTAGGTTTAGAGTAGAATGACTTTTAATTTGAAAAAGCAAATTCATTATTGTATCACCTGCTTCATGTTCATGAGAACAGAATGTTTTCAGTTGGGAAGGACCTACAAGGAGCATCTTGTCCAACTGCCTGACCACTTCAGGGCTGGCCAATAGCCAAAGCACATTTGTTAGGGGCAGTGTCCAAGTGCATCGTGGTCACTGACAGACCTGGGCCATTGACCATCTCTCCAGGAAAGCCGTTCTGCTCTTTCACTGCCCTCCCCATGCAGAAATGCTTCCTGATGTCCACTCTAAACCTCCCCTGATTGCAACTTTGAACTGTTCCCACGTGTCCCATCACTGGATCCAGGGAGATGGGATCAGCACCTCCCTGCCAGTTCCCCTCCTCAGGAGGCTGTAGACCATGGCAAGGTCACTCCCAGCCTACTTTTCTCCAAACCAGGCAGCCCCAAAGTCCCTAACTGCTCCTCTAGTTAATTCCTAAAGTAATTTAGATAATGCTTTCTTGGTGTTTTGTGGATTTTTTTCAGAACCTAATGTTTAAAACTCTTCAATTTTCATTCCTCAGATAAGTGACAAAGGTGGAGGTGTACCTCTAAGAAAAATAGACAGATTGTTTAACTACATGTACTCAACAGCACCCAGGCCCAGTCTGGAGCCCTCGAGGGCTGTGCCTTTGGTAAGCAATTGCAATATGTATTTAAATGTCCCTTTGCAATACTTTGATTTTACAGTACAGCAATATGTATTTAAATGTCCCTTTACAATACTCTGATTGCCCTTCACTGCAATCTGCTGGATCAGGTTTTCCGTTGAGGAAATGCTTTATCATTAGCAAATCTTTCCAGGTAGAACAGGAGAAAATGAATTCTGTTATCATCACTTAGTCTATGGAATAGAAAATTACTTTGTTTTGTCTTGATATTACATTCTTGGAAACAAGCTTTAAAAATCTGCACAAGCACAGTATTTTCACAGGTTAATGGGCAGGATCATTAGTGCTATATTACTGAGCAGGTGAATGACCTAATGACTTCCTCTTTGATGTATAAATTACTCTTAATCTAAGTTTCCTATCATAAATGGATTAAAAAGCTGGCCCACACTGCTCAGCACTTGAGAAGCACCTTCTGGCAATGCACAAGCTTATACTGAAGCTTGAAAATCATTTTTGTTGACGTTATGGACTTAAACACATTAAAAAAATTCAAAATACTGCATATGGTATGAACATATTTGGTATATTCCTATTTAATTGGAAATATCTTCTGTGATACTCCTTTCTCAGATGCATCAGGGCCATATTTCAAATAAAAAAATACTTCCCCATAGTTTCTTTCAGGCAGGGAAATTATTTCACTGGTGAATGTGTAGATTCTTCTAGCAAGCATGTTTTTAAAAAAAATATTAAAATACTATTTCTAAATTGTTTTATTAAATTCCATATTGGCTTATTGTGATAAAAATTGTAAAGCTACTGTTCCACTTGACTGGTTTCAGTAAGTGGATTAATACAGGTGCTGTGTTTTGCCTCTTCTGATGTCTGTGGCTGCTGATGCAATCCTTTTTCTCTAAGCCTGTTGAGAAGTTGATTCTCTAAGAAATTACCTTTCCCCGCTTAGGAACATTCTCATCTAGCATGTTCCTGATTAGTTGGGTTTTTTCTCCCCTGCTGATTTTTCTGTGCTTCAAGTGCTTTCAGATGGATAATGGGGCAGGGTATGGAATCATTAAGAATGATCATTAAGATCATTAAGAATGGAAGTGACCTCCCAGGATCAAGCCCAACCTTTGACCAAGCACCACCATGTGAATTTAGGCCCAGCACCAAGTGCCATGTCCAGTTGTTTCCTGAATGCTTCCAGGGATGGTGACTCACTCCAGTACCCCCCTGGCCAGCCAGTTTCAATTCTTGACAATCCCTTCAGTGAAGAAATTCTTCCTGATGTCCAACCTGAACATCCCTGGCACAGCCTGGGGCTGTTCCCTCTTGTCCGTGTGACTATTTTGGACATAAAATATTTAACAGTAAACTCAGGGTAAAATCACTTCAGAGTGACTCAGAGGTAATAAAGTTCCTCTGAGCTTATGAGCAGAAGGTGTTTATGGTGCTGCCTTGATCCACAGTGGGTACCCCATTGTGGCATGGCAGTGCATTGCATGGGTTTGTCCCTTTGCTCTGTGGGAGATGTGAAACCCAATCCTGTGTCTGCACTGACTTGGTACTGATCCTTCACAGCTCCTACCTCTGCAGCACATCTCAGTCTCATGTTTCAAACTTCTGCTTTTTCATAGAAAATCTTGAATGTGGTGAGAGGCAACAGGCCTTAATTCAAATATAAGCTTTTTTCTTTGTCACAAATGGTAGAATCTCTCTTGATGCATAATCTGCCTTTGTTCTGTCTCACTTTTGATCAGCAATTTACCCTATCAGTCTGCAAGGATTTCCTGAAACTCATTCTCAGGATAAACTTACACCTTGATTACCAGTTGTATTCACTATTAAACTGTCTCTTCCTTTGTAGCTCTGATTGTAAAATGTGTTCATCTTACACCTGACACAATTCTTTTTTCCTTTTTTTCAGTCCATCTTTAGCAATGCATTGCTATATTTACTTCCTCATCTTCAAAACTGCTTACTTTGATTCTGTGGCATTTATCTTTGCTATTCTTCTGTATCCCATTTTCAGGTTTTATTTTCCTTTCCCAGTCTGTGCCACTGTAGTCAAACTTACAGAGGATCCCCCTCTCTTATGAGTCTGGCAGCTTTTGCCTGTGAGTCTGACCAGTGCCTGCACAAGACTGAGAGTTGAGAAAAGCTGTTCAGCTCTGTTATTTCTATGTATGTGCAGAAAGAAAAAAGTCATAAACCCTGAGTCTGTGCCAATTCTTGCCACTAACAGGAACAAGGACTTAGCAGTGAAGTTTGACATGTTATATATTATGGCCCAGATCCAGTTATAAAAACAATTATGCAGTGCTTTGTATGTCAACCTGGAAATAAAAATCCTTCAGAACCTTCAGAAAGGTTCCACATAAATCCTCTTTGATGTCCATGCAGAAGGAGTCTCTTTAGTGACAAAGACCAAACCACTAAAGAATTATAGTGCTGCAGAAGGCTGGAAATGTGTCGTCTTTGACTTAGGTAATACTCTAAGCTAAGCTGGGGTAAAATGTAAACAGACATATTTTTCTGTTCTAACATTTTTCCCGTTGTTATATGATCCCCTGTCTAGTTTATGAAACATTCATGGAATTGGGCAGTTGGAAGAGAGTTATCCTTCTCTTGATTGGGGAAAATTTTTTGCTCCCTGTCATTGCAAATGTTGTTTAAATCCTGCTGAGAAACCTTGTTACCATGGCAGCCTTCAGATTCTAGTGGGTTTGAGGTTCATCTGCACTGCACAGAGTACAGATTAAACACATGGTCTACTACCCATGGATAGTGGGTTTTCTTAGGGAATTTAATGGTACTCTGTCTGACAGCATTTGTTTATAGTAGGAGAAATGTGGCTTAAATTAGTTTTAATTAAAATCTGTCAATGCTAGTAACACAGAAATGTAATAACTTGCATTTTGTTTAATGCATACCATAACATTTAATGATAAATTTGCTCTAAGGAGTTTTCCTTTCTCAAGGCAGATGTGCCATCACAGACTGTTCTGTCCCCTAGGTCAAGCACAGATCTATGTAGTGAACACCTCTTGTTAATTCTCTTGCACAGTAGACCCTTGGCAAGGCCAGGATTTAACAAGGTACCCATCTGGGGTCTCTTATCTCAAATTCTTGAAGTTACCTTGTTTGGACAGCACCCTGAAGGCAGAGCACACAGAGCTGACAGGAGATGTGTGAGAGGGCTGTGTGAAATAGTGATGTGGGCTAGCACAGAGCATAAAGGAACAGGAGACAAACAGAATTGGCTTTTAAGGAGGGGAAAGTTCTGGAGTGAGGCAAGTATAAAATGTTTTCAGTATTGTTTGATACTGCTCTTTACTTGAGCTGATCTTTGGGGTATGGACTGTCCAAAAGTTGCCTTTTGGCTGCTGTGCTTTATGACTTCTGTAATATATTTATTGTCCAGTCTCCAGAGGAGGAATCAGCTTTTATTTTTTTTTTTAGTTCTTTCTAAGGCAGCCAAATAAATTTTTTAGAGGTTAAGAAAGAAATCTCTGAAGTTTCAAGGCCAGATGTTTGAAAGTGATGCATGTGTCTCTAGTGGGAGATGAAATTTCTCTTTGAGAAATTTAAAACATGATGTTGGGAAAAGTGCAGCTAAACAACTGTTTTAACTCTGTTAAGGGACACTAATGGCTATGACAGGCAGTGGGAAAAGGGCATATTTGGCATTTTGTCCAGAAGAACTAAGTGAGCAACTGTAAACCAATTTAATATTAAATTTAGAATTCTGTAAAAACAAGGGCAAAGTGACCTAAAGATATTGTAGTAGATGACAGCAAGAGAATTTGTGATGGACACTGTAGTACAAGTTCTTTAATGTTCACTTTTCCCTCAAGGGACATCTTATAAAGTGATACCACATATTAGCTGTACATAATGCTTGCAAATCCTTCTCCTTAGCATTCTTTTTTTGGTATAATTTTAGGCCTTTGTTTATAAAATTCAGAGTATGTTTATCACTTTCTATCAGGTTGCTTTTGTAGAAATATTATTGTGGAATGAATTTATTGGTTTTCTGAAAGCTTCAAGTGTTTATTTTTTCTCATAGTCCACCCATACTACCTTGCCTTTTATATGTTGGGGGATTTTTTCCCAAATGCTTGGAATAGTTTCTTTATTGCACTGGATAGTCCTGAAAAATTCAGATGAGATTTGGATGCATAACCAGCCACTGTGGTTTCTCAGCACACAGCCAGTCATCTGAAAGTTGTGTTGTGCAAAATCTTACTCCCTGGCTCCAGTGAGAGAGACTTGGAGGGTTTTCTTAGAGCTTTTCTGACAAGGGAGGGTTGGAAGAGGTGCCATGTGATTGATCTTGCAGGCATGGTTACGAATATTGGTTTTGTCAATTTAAAATCTAAACTTTTCACCCATCAAGTCCATTATGCTTTGAAAATTATGTGGATTGTACTGCATCTCAGTTCTCAGGAGATCACTCAGTGCTGTGGAATCCTGATCTTTGTTAAACAGAGAGGATAATTTGCCTTCTGTCAGTCTGTGTGTTCGTCTGCAGGACTCTGCTGATCTCTGTGGCACTGGGGCATCAGCAGTCATTTAATAGTGTGACCCAGAGGAGGTAGACAGGAGTTGTCTCTGGCTTTCTTGTGTAGTCTCCTAAGTCTGGAGACATTTGAGAGAACAATTACAGGCTTGGGGGAGAAACAATCTGCTGTCAGAACTCTGATGTTTTCCAAAGAAAGAATGCAATGGTCAGCAATGGTCCTCACAGTGAGGAGGCTGTGCAGAGCACTGGTTTGCTTTGCTGGTTGCTGGCAGCATGTCTGGTACCTGCCTGCCTCTCAGGAACAAGACAGATGGACAAGGGGCTTCTAGCAAAGGACTCAGCCCTTTTTGTACCAAAAATTAATGCACAGGAAAAAGAGTTTGCTCAAAAGGCTGAATATGTCCATATAGAGTATAAGCTGAGAAATAAAGGAAAGCTTCAAAAAGAATTTGATACAAATCTAGTATTTAGGTATCCTCTCTTTTGTAAATTATTGCAGAGATCTGTTGCATTTTTTTGAACTTTTCATCATGTTTTGACTTTTGTTCTCTTGTTTTTGCAGGCTGGGTTTGGCTATGGATTGCCAATTTCCCGTCTGTATGCAAGGTACTTTCAAGGTGACCTTAAACTCTACTCAATGGAGGGCGTGGGTACAGATGCTGTTATTTATTTGAAGGTATGAATTTCACCCTTTTTTAAACTAGTAATGCAGTGCAGGTTGTTTGTAGCAGGTTCTCTTCACTCTTCAGCTTGTTTTCAAATTTCTTTTTGCTATCTTTGACACTTTTACCTAAATCAGTTACATAAAATCCTAAACCCCAAGATTATATATAGTAATCTAGCACTAACACTTGTTAGTTTGGCTTTTTTTCAGTCCCTGTGTTGGATTGTTGCATTTTGTTAATCTGTCATAAGTAGTGAATCTTCCAAGAACTGTGATAAGAGATAATTTTAGTTAATGCTTTTTGATTCTAAGTTTTGTCACAATAGAAATGACAAGGCTATTGGCCAGCTCCTGAGTAGTAAATGTGTTCTATTCTATGCAGTTCTTGATGCAATAGACTGTATTGATCCTGTTGGCATTTTTTGAGACAGCCCAGGCTGCTCAGGGGCTAAAGGTTGACACTGCTGAATTCCATCAGGGAGTTAAAAAGAACAGAGTGTGTAGGTGTGGAGGTTGTTGGCTTTGCACTGTCACTGTGCCCTGCTGTATATAGCAAGTGAGTTGTGGACTCCTGTGCTTCTGATGAGTTTGATCCTCTGCATGTGTGTGTGTAGGAAAACTGGCTGGCCTTTCTCAGAGGAAAAAGGTGGCCCAGGGCACTGAGCAGGTCAGTGTGCTGGCAGAGGGGAAGTGTTGGAGTGGCTGTCTGCTTTATGGCAGTGACAAATCTCACTAAAATGTTTCTGACCAAAAGTCTATTTCTTGCCATCTGTGTAGACACCAGTCCCTGGAAAGAAGGGAAGTATTTTTCAATGCTATTACTTTCTTTTAACTTTGACTGGGACTTTGAGTATAACTGGAGCTGGTAGTCACAGCTCAAGTATTTTCAAAGTCATGCTGTGACATGTAACACTGTGACACTTGTTGAGTGCAGAAGTTGTAACTGCAGAACTCCCAGAGTATCACCTTGCTCTGTATCTCCAGGGATGCCTGACCTTGCTTTTGTTTTTCCACAGGCCCTTTCAAGTGAATCATTTGAAAGACTTCCTGTTTTTAATAAGTCAGCCTGGCGGCACTACAAGACCACCCCTGAAGCAGATGACTGGAGCAATCCCAGCAGTGAACCAAGGGATGCTTCTAAATACAAAGCCAATCGATAATTTGCCACCTTTTGTCTCTGTTGGAGATGACCTCTGCATTCAGTATAAAGTCTCTGCTTTGTTCCAAAATCCTTCAAACCACAGTAGCTAATTACTTCCAAACCAAGACCTGATCAGGGCATTGAAAAATACTAAGAACAAAGTGATGGTTGGGACTTGCAGGAAGGCACTGAGCACGTTGGTATGTGAATCCTGTGTACTTCACCAGAATATGCTTGGTTGCTTCAGTCGTGCATTGACAAAAGGGATTGCACTGTGATTGCACTTAGGAACACAATGTTGTAACAAAAAGATACTATTTGAAGTGGCCAATTCTTGTTCCAATGTAAGGATTGGCAAGGTGTGCAGAACCCCTGAGTGGTGAATAGTATCTTGCACAGCAATGTGGTGTAAGAGAAAAATTCTGACATAGTTCAACGTGTGCTTCATGCAGCATTTGTATTGCACAGTGTCACCCCTAAGAGAAAATCCCTTTGAGCTCTTCAGATCTTATCTCTAGTGAGTTTATAAATGCATAGTTCTAAAAAGGGTTGTGCAGCTTTAAACTGATGCTTTCTCCAAATTCCCAAAGCCATTTGTCATGTGCATACAAAAGTTGTGTTGTTATAAGACGGTAGGACTTCCACTCCTTGGTATGCACCTTAATGATTTTCTTGACACAGAAATGCATTTCTATGCATTTTTCCTTGTTTTGAGGAAAGCTCCTAAGTAGTTAGATCATCTCTTCATACAAGAAATTCTGTCAATACAGGGGCAGGGGGTAATTCAAGTTCCTATTTGCTTATCATTTTAGGGGAAGTGGGGAGGGGAGAGAAATGCTGAGAGGCCAGACAGCCAGTCATACAAATGAATTTGCCTTAAGAGTGTTGGTTGTTTGAAACCTGATTAGTTTAAAACCTGTAAATAGTTTGCAAAGTTATTTATACATTCAATGTCTGACTGCAGTCTGGTAATCTGAATTTGTAGTGTATATAAAGATGTTGTACACCAGCCTTTGGAACATGTTATTGGTCTAAGTACATGAAACTGGAAATACAGTAGAAATGGGAGGGACAAAATGTGGCCAGTACCTGATTTAAGTTAAAAAATATCAAAGATGAAAAAAATCCAAGTATTTTTCCCTTACATTTATCATAAGGGTCATTCCTTACTATTAGAAAACTGTTCTTCACAAAGTCTTTGCCAAATGCTGTTTCTGATACTATGGCCTTTCAGAAAAACCTGTGAAATTTAGAAGCTCTGGTGATACATTAGCTGTGGCAATAAAGAAGATGAGTTGTAAGCAGCTCTGATGCACCCTCAATTTCTCTTAAGTGTTTTGATATTTTTTGGAAAGATAATAGAGATTTTAGCATGGAAAAATGAAATTTGTTTACTAAAATTGTGGGGGAACTGTCCCTTTTGTCCTCCCAGTATTTATTTTTATAAAGAACTGATTTATTAGGGAAATGCTGAGAAATTCCTAGGTATTTTAAAAAGAGAAAAAGAATCTTAGTTTGACTTTACAATAGTACTTTGCACTTCACGGCACATCTCACTGAAGGATTATAAAGTGCTTTGAGCAATAAACTCCATAGAGCCCCACTTGTGAGCAGTTGAAGTTCTTGCCTTGCCTGTTGCAGTGAGTTCCAGACCTGTGTGCCAGGGCTGAGCTGCCAGGGCTGAGCTGCCAGGGCTGTTCCTCACACAGGGGTGGCATCAGGCCCCCATGGGGCCCTGGCTCCTGCTGTCCATGGGCTGCTGCCCTTGCCTTGGATCAGGGGCAGCTGTGAAGGCTCTCCCCGTGCTCAGCTGGGCAGTGCTGCCCTCAGAGCCCCCCAGAGCCCCCTCTGCCAGGGGCAGGAGGAGGAGGGGGCTGATGGGGCTCCCCTGATCCCAAACTGGGCTTGCTGGGGCCTGGCCAGAGGATCCTGGCAGGGCACAGTGAGGGTGTGACACCTGTGGCCTCCAGAGCAGCTCCTTGCAGGCACTGCTGCAGAGAAGGCAGCTGCTTATTCAAGCAATACAGCTGTGGTGAAACCAGGGCAATGGTTTGACTGAAACACTGGTTGCGAATCACATCTACTAAAATTCAGTCATTTCTCTTCTGCCCCCACCTGTAACTTCATACTGTTTCTTAAATTATTTCAAGTTGTGTGTGTTTTATAGTAATTGCAAGTCACATCTACTAAAATTCAGTCATTTGCAAGTCACATCTACTAAAATTCAGTCATTTCTCTTCTGCCCCCACCTGTAACTTCACACTGTTTTTTAAATTATTTCAAGTTGTGTCTGTTTCATAGTAATTGCAGAGGAGATTTTACTTAAAGATAGAAACCTGTGATGAAACTAATATTTCCTTGGTTGCATGTGGTCAGTTTTTTATAGAACATTACCCAAAACATTCCAAGGAATGAGGTAGTCTACATAAGAAACTCGAGTTTCAGCTTTTTGTAGAAATTGCATTTTGAAGTGTAAAGCCTGACCTGGTACTTGCTTTTGGCTCTCTCCTACATGATGAGGAGAGGGAGCAGAAAGCAAAGGAAGGATGCTGACACACTGGACTTGTTTCCATGGTGGCCATGGGATGTAAACCCTGGAAACTGAACAAAAGCTGAAGTTACTGTGGAGGGTGTTGTGCTGTGTGAGTGATGTCACTTGATCCACAAGAACAGCTGGCTGCTTGCAGGACTGGGGTGCTCCAGTACCTGAAAACTGAACTCCCCTGAAATGGCACCCATTTCCAAGAACCCTGAGCTTGTACAAACACCTCAAAACAGCTGGAGCACAAGGAATTCATTTTCTTTCCATTCCCCAAGGTCTTTATGGGGGCATTACAATGAACACAAGAGAACTTTTCTTCTCTCCAGCCCTGCCCAGGCAGCCTGTGCTTTAGTGGCAGCCCAGGTGTGCCATCAGTTGTTCCCCACTCACTGTCCTTAGGCCGTGTTTCTACAAAGAGGTTTTAGTCTGAAAACTGTTTTAGGAAGCAGCAACAGCAGACCTTCAATTAAGGGAGGGTTTTTCAATAGCTGTGCCTGAAAAATGAGCATGGGTGGGTTCTTAATATGGCTGGTTTAACTACAGATACTGATTTTTTTTTTTCAGTTACTTACACCTTTGATTGGAATCTCTTATAATAACTATGTTTTAATATCTTGGGGCTGTTAATTCCAAACTTTCTGATGATACACAATTTTTATGAATTTCAGAGTTATGGCCTGCTGATGTCTTTGCAACCTGCTCGTCTTGACTTACAGGACACAGAAATACAAAAAAGTTTTCAGTGAAATGTTCCTTACCTGTTGTGTTTATGATTAACAAACTAAATGAGACATGTTTGCTCTTTGATTCTTCCTGAGAATTTACAAACAACTTCTGTATGTCATAGTGTAACAAATAGTTTACTTTTTGTCCATTGTGCATTTTTCTGGTGTATGTGTCTTGAATGTAATTTTATTAATCCTCTGCCTAGTTTAATATCAATAGAAGTGTCTCCAAGTAATGTACATATGCTCCCTGCTTTTCTAGGCTTTGCTTCCAGGCAACAAGGGGTCTTTCAGAGAAAAATTCAGAAGATACCAAACTGCTTCTTTTGCAACTCAGGTGCAGTCTTTGCCTGTGTAATTGACTATGATGACCTAGGAGAGCACAGAGAAATCTTTGTCCTGCTGCAGTCTGTGCTACCTCCTGGGCAGTGTTTAAAGCAGGTCCATTGGCACATGCTTAAAGAACATGGATATTAATTGCAGTGTTCTTGGAAAACTCAGGCTACTTTTTGGCCATGAAAGGCTGCATTTACTGCTACATCTGGGTAGTACTGTCTTTTTTTTTTTGTCCTCAGTAGCATTTGCTTTGAAAGAGCTGCTCCCTTTTTCCAAGAAGTGAGCAAGAGTGATCTTCAGTGCAATCTCCTGTTCACCTCCACCCAGACATCGTATTTAAGGTGATACCTTGACCTCACTGACATGGAAGAGGTTTCCTCCCTCCTCACCTTACTAATGGGTACCTCTGGATCCTTATGTGTGAGGTGCTGCAAACATGGTCAAGATTCATGGAAATAATTCTGTAGAAAGCAGCCTCAATGTTCAGTGTTAGTATTTATCTTGAGGATAACATGCCCCATTGTACAGGGTTCCCTTTCCTTGCTTGGTTCCAGGTTGCTGTGCTTTCTCTTCCTTGCTTCTTCCTGGCATCACATATGTCTATGGATTCACATATGAAAATGTGTTTTTGCTGAAGTTAAGAGAATATGGTGGCACATGACAGAACAATGTGTTACTGACTTCAGAGGTTGAGTTTGTTCACAAATGAGGAACGTAGCTATAAATTGTGCAGTGACTTCAGGGCTGAGTCTTGCAAATACTTGCACAAGTCAACAGTGTATGAGAGGGATGTCACTCAAATGAATGTTCTCAGGATCAGGACTCAGGTTGTTGATATCAATTTGAAACAATGAACATTTGTGTAATTGAAGTGGCTTTGTAATTAAAAATAAATAAGAAAATTTAAAGTTCATATGCTTTAATTGAAGCATTATGTTGCCTTAAAAGTCCTCAGAAATCAGCATAGTGAACTTGTTTGCTTCTTAAATCTGGAGGGGTTTTCACGTGGTACTAGAAGGATTGATGAGTGTGTGATAATTCTGACATTGTCCTTCTGGTGTTAATTGCTTCATTGAACTTTTCCTTTGAACTGAAACTGCCAAGAGGTGTTGGACACAGTCCTTCGAAATCCCCCCCCTGTGCAGGTGACATCAGGCAGAGCAGGCTCCAGGCAGTGCCCTGGGTGCTGTGGGCAGGGATTGTCCCCAGGGAGCTGCAGCTGCCTCACCTGCCCTGGACAGGGCTGGCCCTGCACCGGCTGTGGTGAGTTTGTCATGAGGGTGGAAGTTAAATCCCTTTGTCCCCAGGGTCAGGTACAGCACAGCTCTTCTGGTGAGCTGCTCTGTGCTGCACCTGGCAGGCATGAGGGAAAGGGGTCCTGTGGTGCCTTTCCTCTGAAGTGGCATCATTTGAATCTACTCAACCTGTACTGGAGGGGTGAGAAGGTATTTTTTCATGAGATTACTTGGTGATATTTTAAATTTATTTTTGGATCTTACGATACTTGTCTTGTTTCTGGTCTGTTATCTGTGTATTTGACTTGTGTATACTCTTTTTCCTTTTTTCTTTCCATGCTTGACAAATAAAATTACATAAAAACTACATGTTGACATTTTTAAGGGCCTGGTTTGGTTTCACACAATGTGGAGCTCAGTTTGTGACTGGGCAGTCTGAGGTCAGTTTCTCACATGCCTACAGAGGAGCACCCTCAGACAGCTCACTCACTTGGGAGCTCAAGAGTAATTTTATCATATGAGCAGCTTTGGGGTTTGGGTGTTTTTCTGCTATATAAACCTCCCAAAAGCTAATTCTCAGATTGTTCTTGACAGCCAAAATAGCTGTTAGAAACATATATGACACCCAAGGCCTCTACCTTGAAATTTCTTCAGCATTCCATGACGTTTTATATGCACTCATAAGTTATTCAAGAAAATTAAAAAACCCAAAGTTTGTTACCAAGCAGTTCCAGAGCAGGAAAATGCTTGGGGACCCATCTTACTTGGCTCGTTAGTTTTCTTATTAAGTAATAAATGAGGCTCCAGATGGCCAGGATTTTGCTAGAACTGAGATAATTTTCTTTCAGATTAAGAATTTATTTTAAAACTTCAGCTGAGAAGAAATCTGTGTGTTGTACTTTCTCACTGCTTACCATTTGCCATGACAGGGTATTCACAGGAGCTGAGTAGTTAATTAAGTAGCTCAAAATTGCAAATGTGTCAGCATGTACTGCATATTTGACAGTTGCTGCCTGTAGAAGATAAAGCAAACAGTTGCAGCAGCAATATAATGAAGATTTATGGCTTTAGGACACAGGCATATGTGGGAGAACAATTTGTAATAAGGGATCTGTTTCTTGTTATACAATTCATGCCTTTTTCAGATGGCTGTAGACTTACTAAGTACTTT